AAATGCAAGATTGTAGTTACCTTGACTATCATACATTAAGTAGACTTTTGAAAGGAGATATTTTGCGACTTCTTCAGGCGTCATATTCTCAAACTCTGGTTTCCAACAATCATTTTCCTCAAGAATATATCTGAAAAATATTTTTAGTCAAACAGTTTTTTTTCCTTGTAATGTGCGATAAACACATAAGTTTAGTTACAAATTATGCATTCGTTCTGAAAATATTGAGTCAATCAATACGGGGAAGAACCAAACTACAATATTAACACGCCTAGCTATTACATAATATAAGGACACGAAATTGTTTCGAAAATTATGAAATACTTAATTGATTAATAATACAGTTGAAAAAGTTTTAACATTAACAAAATTATAATAAAAATTTTAATAAAAATAAGTTGAAAATCTTATCAAAATATATTTAAGACTATTAAAATCTGTTTGTCCTAGTTTATGTAAATTATATCCGTTGAGCGAGAGAAAGAGAAGAGCGTCGGTGGCTCAGGGGTTTAAGCACTTGACTTGTAATCTGCAGGTCCTGGGTTCGATCCCGCCATGTACCAATGTGTTTTTCTATTTTCGATTTACATATTTTATATTCATGGTGAAGTAACCTGCAAATATCTGAGAACAAATTCAAAGATATGTGTGAAGCCAACTCGCACTGGGCCAGCGTGGTTGACTATGGCCTAGTCACCCCTAACATAGGGTAGGTTCCGAGACCCTCAGCGGGGACTTATACTGAGCTGATGATGATATCTGTTGAATAATTTTCACAAAGCAAAAAAAATGTACCGTGCATTATTCTGACAGCATTTTATAATAGCTTTCAAATGGTCAGGGCTCATTTCCGCGGCAAGATGGACAGCGGTGCGTTGGTCGTCATCTGTAACCAGGGGGTTTGCACCATACTGTAGGAGTAGAGCGGTGCACGATGCATAGTCCTGCGATATAGCCATCTGGAGTGCCGTCTGAAAATAACATTAATATTTTTAATTCAATCTAAATTCATTATCATGTTTTAGTTTTGCTATGTATCTATCTTGCGTCATTTTAATCATCAGTCCATTCATCTCTTCCTGGCATATATCAGTCTAAAATGAAAAATAAACATAAAATTGTCTTTATAATTTATGTTAATTATTAGTTTCATAACAAAGCCTGAATAAGAGTTACAAAACTATTGGTATAATTTATCTCTTATTAGTTTAGACCAGTCTTTACCGAAGTGGGCGATAACGCCCCCTTATGGGCGCTGCAGGTCTCAAGTTGCGGGTTATAGTAAAAGTTTCGTTTAGAATTCTCCGTTAATATACATATGCAGATCACAATAATTAATTGATTTATTTTGAAGTTATAGTGGTTTTAAATATGTGAAAATATGGGGGCGCTAAAAAAATATTTATTCTCAAAGTGGGCAATAGACAAAATAAGTTTGGGAACCACTGGTTTAGACAATAGACCTTAATGAAGTATATAAACTAATCTTATGTATATAATCTAAATATCACATTCTAAACAAGCTACTGTTCATTCATTAAACACAAAATTACTATTATGTGCATAAATATAGTTTATTATATGGATATATTTATTGCAAATCAAGCACGTTCAGATTTATTAAACCACGTAAACAGCCATTTTGCAATACTCAAAATTGTAATACACGGTTAAAGAGCCACCGCGGGACTTCCCCGTAAACCGTTTTGATTGTTCGTTGTTTCGTTGTTTGCACAATCGTTACTTCTACGTATCATTTACAAACCAATCACAACCATCCATTGAAACGTTCCGGAGATACCTTGAAACAAACATACATCCATCCATGTATCTTATCATTCCCATTTATAATATTAGTAAGATTAATTTGTTATAGATTAATATAGTTTTTATTTAAATCTAATTTAACTGGCCGTAAGTTTGCGAGACCAAAACCTCCGGTTACATCATATTGTTACCTCTATTTTATCAAAGATAATGACTATATGTTTTATACAGAGATTTGGTCTCTAAAACCCATAGTAAGTATTTATTTAATAACGGCAATAAATAACGCAAACTATATAAAGTTAACGTTAGCAAAGTAAGAGCATCATATGTAAAAAAATAATTACGATGTAATATCGCGTCATGTATTTTCTTCGGAATTGAATGGAAATTTCCAAGAATACGTTTACATATCTTTATCAACCTCTATCTCATTACAAAGATAAAATAAATGCTTAAATATTAATTATATATAAAATGCAATATATTTTAAGCTCCCTAAATCTATTGGTTGAATATTATAAAGAAAATATATACATTGATCTGGATAACAAACACTATATTGGGTTATTAATTTTTTCATGTATTAAACACAAGAGTTGGCTTTGAAACCTCCTTAGTATGGGACCTATTAATGTACACCTTTACATAATTAATAATTAAATTATACTATATAAAATTCAAATCCATAATGAACACAAGGCAATAGTAATTAAATTACTCTATACATTCCTTTAATAAAATCTATATAGTAGAATGTAGAAATAAATCAGAAAACGGAAGACCACAAGTAATTTTTTTACTTTAACTTTTAAATCTATAAATGGCAATAAATACAGAAAAAGTTAGTAATACATAAAGATATCACTAGTCAGACAATATCAGATTAAAGGTTAACGCGCATTCGCCAACTTCTCATCCACCCGGCACCCGATAAAGATATTTGTTAGCAAAACGACCGAACGCCTCAGCGCAAGGCAGTGCTGGGTTAACGAAAAGTATCCTAATATGCGTTTACCTCAGTACCCATTTGCCAAAAAAATGTACTTACAACATTGTCATTTGCAGGTATGTCCACTGATTCCTGTCTGCTTTTCAGCACAACGCAGTGCCGCCGCAGCAGATCTACGTCATTATTTAAAACCGCCAGATGAATTGGCCTGGAAAAGACAACTTGTTGAAACTATGTCTGGTCTTCAATCCACAGTTGATGGTTCTTAGTGGAAAAAAAACTTTTTTCTTTTTTTCTCAAGAATAATTGTGTAAAAACTCTTTAATATTCATAAAAAAAGACGACAATCCTTCAGCACACTTTATGTATAGGTGATAATGTGAATGACAAATATTACCACCATACAATTTGGATGACATACATCATAATACCTCACCCCTAACTTAGGGTAGGCTTCGAGCCCCTCGGTGGGGACGTATAGTCAGCTGATGATAATACATCATAAAGTTTGCTACTTATACAATATGGATATGCATATACTTGTAAAAAAATTACTTACAAATTACCATCTTCATCTCTGTTTAAACAAAATTTCCAATCAATATATGCTTGATACCACATCACTTTAGATCGTTCACTTGGACTTAAAGTTTTTAATGTCTCCGCTGTTGCGATATGAAAGTAATCTTCACATATACCGGGTATTCCCACTTGAGTACCATCAAGCATAGTAAGTGTGGTTTTTTGTTGACTCACAGACTCCTGGGTATGTTTATCAATGTTGACTAATATATCAATAGGATTATCTACAAGATTTGGTATGCCCAAGCTGTTAATTGATATGTTGCCACAACTTATATCAGATATATTACTGTCCTCATCAACAAATTGCCGTAATTCAGGGAAACTAGTTTCAGTCCCATTTTCTGTTTTAATTACCTGACCACTGTCCTTATTTGTAGCTTTTTCATCACATGCACTATTTTTCTGAGGAATTTTTGAACCACAATCTGATTTTTTATCCTTTAAATATTCATTTTCCCGCACTAAATTTTCATCCGAAGGATTATCAATGTTTTGTTTCTGTAATTTCTCTTCTATGTCAATTATCCTACGGGTATCTTCAAAGTGATCAGGTTTTATAATAAGTTTCTTTACCTGGCTTGGTTCTAGTACAACATAAGGTGTTTGTTGTGGTTTTCTTATTTTTTTCTTTTGTTTTAATCTTTGTATTAGACCAAAGCAAGTTTCATCTGTTTGGCATGAAGAATTAGATAGCTCTACCCTAATGCCAGGATTTGTTTTATCACTTTGACAAGAAATATTTTTGCTGCTCTTCTGAACTGTTAATAAAGCAAGAATTGCCTGTATTCTATACTCCTGGCTGATGACAGAACATAACGCTGCGAAGAGGGTGTCGTAATTTTTTTGGCCAATCACTTTTGTCACTTCGTCGGATGTTCGTTCAATGATATCAGAGGCCCCACACCGATACTTCGCAGTTGTGCGACTGCAGTTGGTAAATATATTTAACCTGTTAATGATGGTTAAATCGGGGTATTCCCCTTTTAAAAAATCTCCTGGCGTTGACGTATAAATAACATCTTCTTTCACTACAACAGAATTCGCCTTCTTCATACGTTGCAATAACGTCGAGTCTCTCGCTAAACAATTTGTCTTAAACAGGGATATATTATTCTTTTTTAAGATAATAGGCGCTCGTTTATCACTATTCATGATTAGAAATACACAATTGTGTCATTAAATAACACAATTAACCTTAGCCTAGAAACCAAAGATTTAAAATTTGTCAGTCAATACCTACTACATACTAATTAGTTATCACTATAAACATCATACGCATCTCCAACATTAGATAACCACTATAAAATTCCAAAAAGTTTAGTATAATTATTCACTTTTTACTATATTTTCGGGGTGAAGTCCCGCACCACCAAAACGATACCAGATTGTAAACTAAAACCATAGACAATTGACAGACGACATCGGTACCAAACCAATGATAATATGCTTTAACTATAAAGAAACGGACTGGGCAAAAAACAAACTGTTCATTTTAACTCATTTGGCAATTTAAACAAATTGTCATTTTTCGCGACTGTGAGTTCAACAATCACACATGTGCATATAATTCTGACACATATTTGAAATCCAAAATGTTATGGTGTGCTGTTGACTTGTCTAATAAATAAAATTTAAACATCTCTATAAACGTACAGTGACTTAGTTTACAACCTTACACAAAACGAACACACAATCATGCAAGTTAAAAACTTATCATTCGTTATTATTTGCGACAAACATTTGTAGTGTGCGCTTAACAGGTCCTATCTTTAAAAATCTAAGAGCAGTACCGTAATATCTATGCTATTTTAGGGTTGCTATTATACAAACTAAGCATAGTTATTACGGTGAATTATATAATTAAAAAATAATTCGAACGCTCGAGTTTAAGTCATGACAAATATTATTCCACATAGGTTAACTCTTCATTTACGTAAATTAAGTCAACATTCTTCTTTTTGCCTGTTTTCTATTTAGTCGTTGTATTTTACTGTTTGTTGAAAACAGATGCGATCTTAACCACCGTTAAAGTGTAGGTAACAGATAAAATAAAAAAAATGTTAATTAAAACATTATTTTGATACACAGTATTTATTCACAGGAGATCATACATTTTTGGATATAATTATTTTCAACATAATCTAGAAAAAATTAAAACAGGTTATCTTTTTATAAATTTTGATTTAAGAATTTAGTTGTAATATAAAGGAAGGATAAATAACAAAATTATTACTGTAGGTATCCACTGAAATCAAAAAATTTTACATTGTGTCACCATTTTTAAAGAGGAAGATGTTTTTCAACAAAAACCCAATTTTTGACTAAATACTAGATACATTACCTCAACTAAACAATTTTTTAAGTCAAAGTTTATGTTTAAATATATCTTTTTGATATAATTTACTAACAGTCTTAGACGGCAGTCTTTCACACACTCTTACAGTACAAATACTTTGTACGGTGGCTGAAATTTGAATTAAATCTTAAATTGATTGGTATAGTTGTTGCCAATATATTACTTAAGGCATAATATTTTGTCTCTAACTTCTTATAACCTAAAATTATAAATGTTGCGTTATACTAAACTATATATTTATTTAACATCTTGCTTCAAATTTATTTAACTAATGGACTTAATGGATACATAGCCATCACTATTACAAATGATTTTATTTATATAAAAATCATACAAGAACAGATACCATGTAAAATATCACACCATTATAATTCTTAATTAGGATTTGGCTATAGAACCTCCTTTATACAAAATAGTGTAATAATCTAAGGCACTTGGTCACCATGAATTAAAAAAAAAGGGATTTGCCTATGGTGTACATTTTACATATATAATTTTTTATTTATCAATCTACTAAGAATCAAGCACATACACCATTTTAAGCTTGCAAATAAAAGGAGTTATAAAAGGTGGGCTTCTTTACATAAAAAATATTGTATTTAAAACAAGACTTTTAGTATTGACACCTATAAAATATTCATTATTGCTAGTTGTTTTTTTTTATTTAATAAATTATGATTTTGAGGAGAAAAAATACTAAACACAAAATTGTGTCATAAACAAGATTATTTTGGTGATATACGTGAATTATTTTCTACATAAACTTAAAGGCTAAATATAAACTAATCTACAAATCAGTCAGAAAGTAAAGGCGGGTAATTGACATCAGATATCCAAGCCCTTAATGAGCACAACACTCACATAATTATTTAAAAAAAACGACATTTATACCTCTTATAAATGGCAAATTCCAACAGATTAAAAAGTTTTCACATTGAACATTCCAGTTGATAATCACAAAATCATAGAAATACTTAATGTTTAGTAACGCAAATGTGTTATTGTATGGAAGATGTAGTCAACCAACAAACACTAGGCTGGCATCGGTTATTAGGGCCTCGTCACCCCTCACTTAGGGTAGGTTTTGGACGCTTCCGTAGTGACATACATGAGCCAAAGACTTCTTAATGTTTTTCAAGTGAATGGATATTTATTATAGCACACTTTACCTTGTTCTATCATAGAGTAAACAGTAATCATTTTTTGAATCTGACCAAACAATTTTTTTTATACTATCCATATGATAATGATAGCTCTCTAAATGGGATTGTTAATTTGTGATGGCTTATATTTTGACGGATCACAAAATCTTACTAATATTTGAGTCTAGTATATGACTATAGTGTTAATCAGTCAAATTCACTATTCAGACTATCATTCTCTTCATCCAACTGCATACCCTGTTGTTCATTTGTTTCCTCTTTCATTAAATCATTTAAATTAGTTGTTGAACTTTCACTAGAATCATCATTCCGCAGCCCGTATACTAAATTATCAATTTCTTCATTGATATTTTCTTTTGATAATATTGCTACTTGTGTCATCATTGATGACAAGTTCCTGAAATAGTTCTTCATATTTAATGTCATTGCTGCCATCATTTGCTTTTCTATACTGGTAACACTTTTGCTATCTAATTCTTGTTGCATTTCATCTCTACGTAATGTCTGTGGCATTGTTGATTTCAATAAGTTTGCTAATATAGGGTTCGCTCTTAGTGTTTCTTCAGTTGAATTCTCGCCGCTTAAATTTTTACTTGTATTATTATTATAATTTTCTTTTTCACTATTTTCATTATCTGTTATGGTTTTTCTTAACACATCCATACCACTTGTATTCTTTGGTAGATGAGTGCGTTTATGTAAAAAGAACACATCAGGGTCTTTAAAACATTTTGAACACTCTATACATTTATATGTTTGTTTTGAACTGAAATCTTGTATTTCCGATTTAATAGGGCCATATGACATGTTTGCATTCTCATTAGTATAGTTTTTAGTGGCCAAATCTTCTGGATGTTCACTGTTTATTTTATTTTTATACAATAAATGTTCAATTTGTGACATAGTTTCATTAAATTGACCTGAACTATTACTGGACATGGATGATGAACTCTCTCTAATAGGTGATGATCCTTGTTCTGAAAAAATTTAGTATTTATTATTATTGTAGTGAAAATACCAAAATTATTTATTAAAATCGAAACCCAATTTTAGTAACAAAATATAAGCATACAGACATTCTCTGTGGATGTTACTTAAAATATACAGTCAAACTTAGATGTAAAAGAGTCCAAAAAGAACTACATATTTTTCTTGCTAGTAGAGGTTATCCCTTCGGACCGTATTATATTGTTTCTTGCTTATTAAATTTTGACTGTATCAATTATCAGAGGAAAATTATGATACTAACCATTACACATTGAAGCCATGTTCATATCTCCAATTTTAGTAGCATTTACAGCCAGCATTGTCTGCATATAAATGGCCTGCGCTACATGCTGTAGCTAAAAAAAATATGGTTGTTAATTTAAAAAAAAATCTGTAGAGCTACAGAACATGTAGATAGTATTTCTATTGAGTCAAGAAATCAGTTTAATTTATAAAAAAGGTGGCTTTTTAGACTGAAACTAAAGTTACTAAGTCTGATTATTTTAAATACCAATTTAAAAATATTGGAAGTTTGGGTAAGGAATTTTGGCTTTAACACTTTACATTTGAGAATATTTTATTTACCTGAGAATCCATTATACCAGTAGGAAGATTTAATTCCCTATTTCTAGTCCTAATGCTATGTATGGTTGAATCAGATGGTAGATTCTGTGATGGTACTGCATCTTTCCTTAAAGTTCTCCATTGACCTATAATTTAAGGTAGGGTAAAGCCGCGGGCAAATAAAATTAGAGTATCTGTATGCAACATGTAAATAAAATCATATTCCGTTAACATGATGAATGTGTATTGCCTACAATGGAAACCAGTTATAATTTTTCTTGTGACTGTCTGTCTACAAGTCACGAACGCATTTGTTCCTTGTAATCTCTGAAACAGCTGAACCTATTTTATCAGGACTTTACTGGAAGGTAGATTAGGTTTGCAGGAGTAACTTTGTCTAAGTTTCTTTAAAAAGCCAATTTCATAAACTTCAAACGTGTTAATTAAATGTTTTTATTTTACCTTTGTTTTTGCCTAGACCCGTTACTGTGTAATCCTCTGGTTTGAAATGTAAACTACATACTTTAGAATATTTTGTATAAGGTTTTCCTCTTTTTAAAATTTCATTCCAAAGTTTTGCAAGTTCTTTGTCTTTTGGAAATTGATGAAAAGATACATCTTTCACTTTTCCAGCCATAGATGTGCAACGAGGAACAGTGCAGTAATACGGCATTTTGGAATTTTACAACATTAATGTTACTTTTTAATCATTATTTTATGATATTCTATTTAAATTATTAATATAAACAAATAAAAAATTAAGGGCAATAACAAACTACCGATAAAATCCCAACTTTCAACAGATGCTTGAAAAACAGATATCAAAATTAATTTGGTCAACGACAGCTGCCAAACTGTCAAACGGCTAACAATAAACACAAACAGATAAGACATTATTTTTATTATTAATTAATGATAAATATTTCCCCTAGCCAAAGTTTTAAACGAACCGTAGGTCTAAAGAAATGTAAATGTATCTCGAAATGTAATCATATTATTGGGCCTATAATGGTGTAAACATTTAAAAAGCGATTGGGAATCGCAACTATAATCTGTTTATTTCTCTATGGTCTATATCCAAAAGTAGCCATTTTCCGAAAAAGTGGGGAAGGGAAAAAGGTGAATACATGTCAAATATTTCAAGGCTGCTGTGTGATGATTTCGATTTTAATAAAAGTGATAACGATTTCAATAAATAACCATTTTTAACTACTCTCTAAATGAATATAATTTGATATCTTATTAATGTTATGAAGTTTGTACACAAGCGGGAATCGGCATCCCTACAAAAACTTTGACTTTTAACAACAAAGGTTGCAGTGAATTTGCAATGGGTTACTATTGTACAGTACCACAGTGTACATCACTTGCCGGCAAGACGAAAAATGTTAAATTCCATCGATTTCCGCGCGATGAAACCATGGCTGAGAAGTGGAACATTATTCTTAAACGCGGCAAACCATTTACAAAATACTCCAAAGTGTGCAGTCTCCACTTTACTCAGGCCGACTACAACGTCACTACAATGGGTAAGAATAAAGGTATTTGGGTTTTTCCATGTCTCGTTAGTATACTGCACGGTTACTCAAAGGATTTTATATGAGTCATCTCCAAAGATCGCATATTTTGTTTGGCAAATAAAGTCGCCGGATCACACCCCCCCATATGGCTGGTGACAAGTTGTTATCCATTAAAGTACTTTTTTTTTGTGTTCAACAATGGTAATGTAACATTTTCTTATAAGAATCTTATTAGATATTGTCATATATGTCAAACATGTCTGCTTGGTGTTTGGTACAGTAATGTTTACAAACATTGTGTTAGCATTATTTCTTCTTTCAGTTAAAATAGTTTATAGACATGACATAGAACTGTCTGTTCGCTTAAAATTTTGTTTACAAGATAAAAAATTTTATAAAGTTTACCGTAAACAAGTGTAATGTTCAGTCTTATATATATTGTAATGTATACAATAAAAATAAACTAAAATTATAAAATATGCACATACATAAATAACTTTTACTATCTGCTCCAAGACTGCTATTTTCCTCAATACTGGAGGCTTTTATGTTAACGAAATTGGCAAGGAATTATTTCTCCACATAAATACATATATACATTCTTATCTGCTATGTAAGTCTACTTGTTATACCAAATGTGTGTATTTAAAAGTAAATGAAATGATGATTTGCTAAATTAGTAGTATTATGACTAAAAAAATTGTCATTTGCAAAGTAAAGCTATCATAGTATCTGTCTGTGATAAATTTTGTCTGAATGGAAACTCATACTGTAATTTTTGCAAATTTATTTTTATAAGTATATAAGTATTTGGTCCCAAGGCTTAATTTCAAATATTTATTATCACAGGATTTTTCAGTTAAGGGTAATGTATTAATCATGTGATTTTTTTTTTGCAACTTTTTGATCCCCTCTGGTGATATGCAGTGTGGGTTTAGACTACCGCTCCCTAGTAATATTGAAATTTTAGAGAATTCTTTATTTATTAAGTTTAGGAAATACAAGTCAATAATAAATACAAGTGACATCTTTTTAGCTCATCCACATTGTGATGTTATCGGAAAGGGGATCTTTCGAAAATCAAGTGATGATTAGGCAATCTCTTAGCGTGCCCTTTAATTTGGATATAGTATATCTTTATAGTTATTTCATATTGAGAGCATTAGTGGCTCAGGGGTTAAGCAATTGACATGCAATCTGCATTAAAATATGTACATTTCTCTGACGTTCTTATGGTAAAGAAAAACGTTAAGATGCAACCTGCACATATCTATGCAGAAATTCAAAGATATGCATGAAGTTAAACCAACTCACACTGGGCCAGCATGGTTGACTAAGGTCTAACTTAGGGCCAACCTTAATGTCCTACTCCCAGCCCTTCAGTGGGAATGAATTATTAGTTAATGATGACAGATTAGGATTGGATTACGCTACTATTTGTAGGTTGATATTTAAAAAATCCATAAGTATAAAACTTAATAAGACATTTGTACACTTATCGTAAAGTTCATATTATTTTAATGATTGATTTAATTCTAAAATTCAACCATGCAACCCTAGTTAGATCAAGCTTACTCATGCATTTATATTTATCCGCGATAATAAAGTCCGGTTTTCCACTATGTTTATTTTTTAAGCGAGTTTCCGCGTGATATAATTTGCATATTATACTTATGGTTGTCAACTGGGGACAATCACTGTAGTTAGCTAACTTTGCTAATAACCGCAATGTCTTATCCTCAAAATCGCCGCCAGTTTTCCTCTTATAATGCTGTGATACTGTATATTACAAAAAAATATGATGTAAAAATATCCCTGACCGTTATTCTGATAGGCGCAACCAATGCAGAGTTTTTAACTGAGAAGCTTTCAGTATCATTTCTTTATACAACTTAATTAGAATTAAGTAAGGGTGCTTGTTGAAAACTGCAACTAATAGAATATATGTTCCATAAGTATAAAAATAATCTTACATATATGCGCATGTTTGGATAGACTGATCAAGATACGGATGGGTGGATGTTTGTTATATCTCCAGAACAACTGCATAGATCTTGCTGAAATTTGGCATATATATAGAATATGATCTGGAAGTACAGACAGGCCTTTTTTTTAATTAACTTTTGTAATTCAGCACAGACTGTCCGATATAACTGTTTGGTAGTAGCATTATGCAGTCTGATTTAATCTTGAATATTGATTCTAACAATCTGTAAGTGCATAAGGAAAATTCGTGTTTTTTACGTAACCATACTATAATTATCATCCTCGGCATAACATTTGACTCGTATTTATAAAGAAAAAATAACTCAAAGCTTATTTAAATAAAGGTAAAAGCCTACATATTAGGTAAAAACAGATAACAGTTGTATTTCTATTTTTATTTTGTCAGTAGAAACTAATTTAATTTAACAGTAGTAGAGCCCGCTTTAACATCTTCGGACGAATTGGCCCGGCTCGCCCGGTGAAATACCACGACCACACAGAAGACAGGCGTGAAGTGGAAGCAATTCCGCGTTGCGTCTGATGAGTGTGCGTCCCGGAGGCCTAATTTAGTCCACTTTCCCGTCGCACCCTTTTTCTTATAAGGAAAGGATGGGAAGTGGAAGTGGACTTTCCGGATGATGCATGGGAAGGGAAAATATTTTCTTTCTGTGCATCCTCTCTTCCGTCGAATTAAGGTAGGCAACATTTGTATATGACAAATGCGTATGTCTATGGGCAGCGGTCACTTCACTATTTCAGCGATTTCAGGTGGCCGGTCGCTCGTTTGCCACCTTTTGATATAAAAAAAAATTGTTAACTTTTAGGCGTTGTACAGACGAATGGGTTAGAAAGACGTATTAGAATAGGATATGGAATATGATAGTCCTTCTTCATAATATAATCAAACTTTTTAAGCAGTGTAAATCTGCGAATCATCATTACTAGCATCTTTTCCTATCAAAAAGATGTCACGCAGATATCTAGAGATATGTAATAATGTTAAATTCATATCATAAATTTCGCGAAGCACTGATCTATTAAATTTTAATTTATTTAAATTATATTAATTCTCTTACTTTCAACAAACAAAATAAACTTTAGAAATTAACGAATTGTTTATTATGGTTTTTAGGAATAGATTACGAAAGGATTCTAGGGAAATCTTCATTGTATGTTAGATGTAAAAAAAATACTATCTGTAGATTAGGCTGATACTAGAAAATATGCCTTTTATGCATAAAAAGTTTTGGTAATTCCTTACTGAATCTGCCAATGACTAGTATTTAATTTATACCAGGAAAAATTAAATTAATTATTTTAATTCTTATCAAAAACTTTCCGGTGCAATTTATATCATTCATAACACAATGAAGTCATACAGATATTAAAAATCTAGACTATAAATTATCTCAGTTGTGGAATACTGCACTATATGTGGATGGAATCATATTTTTTTGTTTTAAGATTAGTACTATAATACAAATATAGGGTTAAATATGCGAAATATAACATTTAATTTATTTACTCTAAGCATGAGTTTCCACTGCGTCCTCGTCAGCTTATGCCCCACCAGAGGGCTCGGAGCTTACCCAATTTGGGGGTGACAAGGCCATTGACAACTACGCTGGCAGAGTGCGTGTTGTCTCCACAAATATCTTTGAATTATTTTGTCAATATGTGCAGGTGGTATCATGATGTATTACTTCATCGTAATAACGATGAAGTAAAAAAGTAAAAAAAAAAATATCGAAAATCGTAAAACACATTTGGAGGTCGAATTTGAAGTAGTTTACGGTCCCGTCCAATCAAGCACTTAACAACTGCGCTGGCGCTCTTTCTTTTCTAATACAAAACTCTTAATATTAGAGCTACATAAGGATATTTTTTAAGTATAATTTTTATTACAATTTCAGGACAATGGAAGACATTAAGCAAAGATGCGATGCCGTCTCAGAATCTTCCCAAGTTGAACCCCGATGGCTCAGTAATGGTCATTCGCAAGAGTCGCACAGTTAAATACAAGGAGAGTAGGAAAGATACCATCAGGTAAGACCACTATCCTTTTGATTTTGAGACCAAAATCTTAAACCAAAAACTTAATGCTTGTTAATATTTGCGTTTTTTTTCTTATAACTTAAATACATTTTGATTATAATTTTAATTTGTTGTCTTTTCTTTTTAGTGTTAAATCAGAAAAATGGTGCTTAAATAGTCAGTCCACAATGCCGACTAATACTCCGGATAGAAATCTAACGAATGAAAGTTCAGATAATGTGAGTATATATTATTAACAAAAAATAGGAGTTGTTTAGTTGTAATT